TTTAGAAATAAGAACTTTTTATTTGACAAAGGAAAGAGTTGGATAGCAGTTAACTGTTGCCTATAATTGGACTCAGTAGAGTTTTAGATGTCAAAACAAGGACACCAGTTTGAATAACAATGGATTTCAGTTGTATCCTGGATATTTGGGCTATTATGTTAGGCTAGAGACTGTGGGTCTCAGAGTCTCCTGATTCCTTAATTCCTTTAACAAATTTTTATGGAACATCTACTATGTGCCAAGTTCTTTTCCAAGCCCCAAGAAAAGAACAGGAACAAAGCAGACAATGTCGCTACTCTCATAGAACTTACATTCTAGTTAGGAGACACAATAAATAAATAAACAAACATGAAAAATTCCAGAAATTGTTAGGTGTTAGCAGGGAATCAAATAGGACATAAAGATAGGAAAGACTAGGTAGCTACTTTGGATTTATGGGCCAGAGAGTCTTCTCTAAGGAGCTGACCTCTCAACTGAGATATGAATGCCAACAAGGAACCAGAACTGTGAGGATCAAGAGAAAACAGTCATTCCAAGAAAAGGGAACAGCTAGTACAAAGATCCCAAGGTGAGAGAGAAGGCCAGTTTGCTGACAGTTTGTGGACAGGGTAGATAATGTTTATGGGAAGTTCAGAGATTCAGGGTCCAGTTCATTTATGGCATTGTAGGAGAAGGTAAGAAATTTAGATTTTAGCTACCACCAGAAACCAGGGGTTGGGTGGATTTTAAGCAGAGTGACATGATCTCATTATATTTTAAATAAATCACTCTTGCTATTACATGGAGAATAGATTACAGAAAGCAAGAGTGCAAGCAAAGAGACCAACTGAAGTTTATAGCTATAATCCAGGCAACAAATGGAAATGACTTAGAGGGAGATAGTGGTAATGGACAGAGAGAGAAATAGTTAGATTTGGGATAACTTTTGAAGTCAGAGGTGATTGAAGTTGGGGGTAGATAGGAGAGAGAAAGAATGAAATTACAGATGTATTCTAAGTTTTGGGTCTGAGAAACCTATTAGAAGTGATGCCATTTTTTGATATCTGCAAGCTTGGAGAAGGAATGGGTTTGGAGAGAAAAACAGAAAGTTCTCTTAGGAATAAATTAAGTTTTAGAAGCCTATTCGCTATCCAAGAATAGCTGTCAGGTATGAAGTTGGATATTTGGATCTAAGTCTCAGAGGAGAGGTGATGAAGGCAAGACATTGATTTGAAAGCCTAGACTATCTGAAGTCATGAGAATGAGTGAGACCACTTAAGAGAACAGGGCCAAGTTACTGAGCCAATGGGTACTCCAACATTGAGAGATTGGATAGAGGAAGAGGAGGAGCCAGAATACAAGACTGAGAAGAATCAACCCGTGAGTTAGGAGGGAAGGCAGGAGAGATGCTAACCAGGAGGCCAAGAAAAGAATCATTTCAAGAACAAGGGAGTGGTCAGTTATGTCAAATGCTGCTGAGAAGTGAGATAAGATAAGAACAAAGTTGAGACCATTGGAGCTGGTAGTTCCAGGGGAATGGTGGGTAGTGAAGCTCAATTAGATTAAATTGATGAGAGAATATGAGGTGAGAAAAGAAAGAAAGCAACTACTGACAGAAGAAAATGCCTCTAGACAGCATAATTATTAGAGCCCTCTGAAATCGAACGGGCCTACTCACGATATTGGAGGAGCTCAAAGAAAGTTTACAATTATAATGAGGGGATGAGTGCATCTGTTTGTGAGCTGGACAAGATGACCTTGGAAATACCTATCAGGCAATGATGTTCTAAGATTCTTTTATTCTACAGTATTTATCTGATATTGCTCTCTTGCTTGCCTAAATTGTCAGCGCAGTGTCCCCCACCTGATCCCTCTGCAACCTTATCAAGGATAGATAAATTATTTTCATTAGACTTTATAAAATACTGGAAATAGCTCTTGAATTTTTATTACTTTCTCAGCAAACTCTAGATTGGAAAAATTTGATCTCATTCAACTGTCTCCTAATGTAGATAAGGCAATTAAGGCTCTGAAAAGTGAAATGATTAGTCAAATATAAAATTCAAAGATAACAGCAAAGCAAGGACTAGAACCCAAGTCTCCTGATTTTATTTCTCATCATCTTCTTACCGCTTCATTTTTGGTTTATATTTTTCTAGTTTTTATAAACTATCTACTTACAACAATAACTTTCAAAGTTGCATTGTTTAAAATACCAAAATAAAAAGCAAGCAAAGAAACACTTAACATTCTCAGCATCAGAGAGTTGAAGTTCCTTTTTCAGGAATGAGCTGAGGCCTTCATTCCTCCAGCTGCTGGAGTATCTGCATCTGATGGCTCTCAGCCAAGTCCTTCTCGGGGAATTGTCAAGTCATAAGGTCAGATGGACTCAGCAGCAATCCATCATAAGATGGAAGTGGTAAATCCAGAATCAAGCATAAGCAGGATGGAGAGCACAATTAGCTGCACTGGCACTTCACCCTCAGAACAAACCTATGACCACATGAGGGGTCCCTGATGATTAGCTCACGGAGAAGGAAAAAGTCCAACAGATGGTTCACAGATGGGTCATCCTGATATGAAGTGTAAGCTAAAAATGGACTGCTGTTGCACTACAGCCTCACTCAAGGGTATCTCGTAAAGAAAACCGAAGGGAAATGCTCACAATGGGCAGAGCTTTGGGCATTGCAGCTGCTCATCTACCTTTCGTGGAAAGAATGGCAGACCAAAGTAAGAATATATACCAATTCATGAGCAGAGGAAAATGATTTAGCTGATTGTTCAGGGACCTGGAAAAAGGAAAATTAGAAGATTGGTGACAAGGCCATCTGGGGAAGATGTATGTGCGTGGGCCTATGGACATGAGCCCAAATGTGCAGATCTTTGTATTACATGTTAATGCCCTCTAAACAGCATCCTTCTCTCCATCATTCTTCACAGAAGAGGACATAGGCAACCAAAAACATAGAATGACAGGGCCAGTTGCTATTGGCTAGTCTCTCTCATCAGCCACCCTAGTGCTGGCATAATGGTCACATAAACAGAGAAGTTACAATGGCAGGGATGGAGGCTATGCAGGGGCCCAAAAGCGTGGCTCCCACTCACCAAGGCTAATCTAGCTACTTCCACTGCCAAATATCCCACTTCCCAGTGAGAGGGACCAGTGCTAAGTCCTGATATGGCATAATCTTCAAGGACACCAACCAGCTACTTGGTGACAAATTGACCACTCTGAACTCCATCCACCCTGTAAGGGGCAGCAATTCATCTTGGCTGGAATCAACACATATTGCAAGTATGGGTTTGCCTTTGCCATCCACAGGACCTCAGCCAGCACCACTATTCAAGGGCTTACAGAGTGTTTGATCCACTGACATGGGATTTTTCACAATATTGCATCAGACCGAGACCCACTTGACAACAAAATAGCCATTTGGAAGTGTAACTGAGACACCAGCTTGGATATGAGACTCTACAAGGATAGGCGGTTTATGCTCTAGGACCTAGTTACACCCTAAATCAGCGGACGTTGTATGATGCTATGTCCCCAATAGGTAGAATTTATGGGTCTAGGACCCAAGAGAAGGAAGTAGGAACATTCCTGCTTACCATCCCTCAAAGTGACCAACTTGTAGAATTTGTACTTCTCATCTCTACAACTCTAGACAATGCAGGTCTAGATTTCTCCCTGGAGGAGTAAATGTTCCATCAAAAGACACAAGAGTACCATTAAACTTTAAATTAAAACTACTACTGTCACTTTCGGGTCCTCATGACAAGAAGAAAGCAAAGAAAGTAGTACACAAAGAAAGAAGTCACCATCCTGGCACGGGTGCTTGATTCTGATCATCAGGCAGAAGTAGGGCTACTGCGTTACAATGAGGGCAGGGAGGAACGTGTTTGGTACCCATCCAATCCACGGGGGAGTCTCTTGGTATGCTACACTGCCCAGTTTTGACAATGACTGGATAAGTGCAACAGCCACAGCTTGAGAAGGTCATGGTGACCGGGGGCTCAGACCCATAAGGGATGATGAGGGTCTGGGTTGCCCGACCATGTAAACCACCTGGATCAGCAGAGATGTTAGTCAAAAGTGAGTGGAATCTAGAATAAATAGTAGAGGAAGGCTACAATGAGAACTTAATGAAATATATAAGTGAATTCAACTGCCACAGGAGATAGAATTTAGCAAACACGATTTTATGTCATCCAGATCCCCCCTTCAAGATTGAGGCATTCATTACCTCAGTTGCTGTTAGCATTGACAGCTAATGGCTCTCAGTTGAATTTCTCTCTGTGCATTGCCCTCAGCTGAAAGGCGCTGCCTTGCCCAAGGTCACACCTACTCCCAAGGCACAGTCTCCATTCAATTACTAGATAATAAGGGGGTTCAAAAACTCAGCTCCTTTACCTCAAGGAGGGACAACTCTGAAGGGCCATCACAGCTTCAGAGCTCCCCAGGGTATTTATTGGAACCTCATTGTAGTTCCACCCCTCCCTGACCCAACCCCACTTCCTTTAATTGCCCATATAAGGGTTGATCCCAAGGGCACTCGCCAATAAAATTATTGTGCACAACACAAATCTCTTTCAGAGAATCTGTTTCTCAGGGACAGCTAGTTCAAAAAGCATATGGCATGTCCATGTGAGATAATATCTTCTAGTCATGAGAATGATATTGTAGTAGATTATTTCATGAAATTGGAAAAATTAAGTTAGGACAACTGAAATGTTTGCTCACTTTTATAAGGTATATGAATATAAATATATGTAAATACATCCTAAGAAGAAGCATAAAGTAGTAAAATATTAACAGTGGCTATCTTTGGGTACTAGGCTCATGATGTTTTTCTATATTTTTAATAATCAATACTAGATATGTTATTATTTTTAAAATCATGTTAAATATTTTAGTTAAAAAGTTGTGTCTAATATACTTACAAAAATAGAGACATACATGTAAAACAGAAGGAAGTGGAGACAATAAACACACAGTCCAATATAATTGCTGTCTATTCCAGATGATCCTTCATTTAAGAACGGGAAACAATTCATCTCTCTTCCCTGATCCATCCACTGGACTAATTGAAGTTACCAGGTGACCTGACGAATAGGTAACTAACACCTAGGAGTTGGAATTGCTGGGTCATATGTTCACTTTATGTTCCTTTCAAGGAACTTCCAGACTATTGTCTAAAGCAGCTGCACCATTTTTCCTTTGGTAGTTATTATAAGCCACAATGTTTTTCCACCCTAGTCCAAGCAGGTTTCTCTTATGGTCTGAATATTCTGCCAGATACAGATTAGTCATTTTTCTTAGATGGCTCTGTTCAGGGTCCTAACCAAAGGAAAGACTAGGAAAAGTCAAAAGAATTTGGTTGGTTCCCAAGGTGTCATCCATATGGTAAGAGTGAGTCAAGCATAGGTTTTCTTCAAGACTGACACTCAACTCTTAGAGCATTTCCCTCACAATTCCTGTCCAGACATTTAAGATGTGCGTTCATTAGTGAAGCCACTCAAGAATCGCTGCTACAAAGGTGGGAACTTTTCTCATTGGCTTGTTTATCCATAAGATCCTCTCAAACAAAGGAGCCTCGCTAGGATTCACTCAATTGTTTTACCTTAGGTAGGGAGCCAAATTTTAATTAAAATCAGAAATTGTAAACATTGTTATCTAGTACAAGATTGTTTTGCTTGCTTTTAAAAATTTATGCTATGTAAATTTTATAAACAGGTAATACTTGTTTTTCTTTTCTCCTCTCCCAAGTCTAGATCATCTTAAAATTTGTCAGGAAATTTGCTGTATACTATGGTTGAACATCAAATTCAACCCCAGGTTCTTGGTAGCAATTCTCATCTGATAAAAGGAAGCCTACAGTTCTTAAAAATATTTCTTGGCACAAAAATTTAAACGGGGAAATTATGATTTATAAAGTGGCATCAAGGAGCCCAGTGGTCGTAATGCCTTTAACAGTTTCACAGGAAATGCAGACGTGTTCTTCAAGTGAGTGCTCCTTGATCAACTCTAAATAAAAACCAAATGAGTCACATCAAAATATCTTTTCTGTGAAGATTTTTTCCGAGGAGGTTAATCCAATGGAGTTCAAGCGCAGTGTGTCTGCATTTAATGTGATTTTGAACTAATCTGAAGTGATGTGGTATAAAACATTAATAAAGTCTCTATGTATATACTTTGAAATAATTCATATTCTTTCCAATTATAAAAAATAATCAAGAATTACATAATTCAGAGCTCGCTGTCTGAAAATTATAAACTGTGTTTTTGCTATTTTCCTTTGGAGGTGGCAAATTAGTTGGCAAACAGACCCATCATCCATTGAAACTTAGTCTTGAACTATACGGATTAGAATTAAGTGAGGTTTCCAGGAATGTATCATTCACATTAATGCAACTTCCGTATCTAGTTTTCTGCTCCGTCTTCATAGAAAGAGACATCCTCAATCTCTTAGAGACACGGATATGTTACATACTACATATTGTTACATTAATATGTTGCATATTTTGTATTTCTTGGCCAGTAGTTAAAATTCTGGCCAAACATCAGAGTTACCTGGAGAGTTATTTATAAGCCACATTTTGTCATGAGTATTATAGAAATAATATTTTTCAGTCATTTCTGAATACATAATATTCTTACTTGGCTCAAATTTCAAAAGGTACAAAAGGTTATGCTGTGGAAAATAGTCTCTCTCCCACTCCTATCTGCCAACCACTCAGTTCTTCTCTACAGAGGCAAAACCAGTATTATCAGTTTTTGTGCAACCTTCCAGAGATATTTCACACTCTTGTAAGCAAATATATATGTTCATCCTTCTTTTTAACAGCACTGGTAGCAAATGATACACACTCATGCTTTTTTCACTTAATAAAATGTCTTGACTATTGGCACATATCCATACCTAAAGAAATTCCTCTTTCCTTTCGCATATGCAATGTATATTACTGTATAGATGCACCATAAGTTGTTTAACTAGTCTACCTGGAAAGCTTTTTAAAATACATGTTCCTGGGCCTTCTCATAGACCTACAGAATCAAAATCTATGGGTCAGGGTCTAGGAATATGTATTTTTAACAGGCTCCCCAGGTGACTGTCATCCAGTCAGCCCAGCAGATTGGTTCTGGGGAATCACCATTCTAGGTTGTCTATTCCAAATATCACTATTTCCAGCTGAGATTTTCACTGAGGCTAGAAAGCACAGGTGATCTTTTCTGGGAAGAGCTTGCCTGATCAGTAGTACATATTTCCGACTCCAAGGAGGTACATAATCTTTACTGTTCAATTCATAGAACATTTTCAAGAAAAATAAATTATTCCTGTAGATTGCTGCCAGTATACTTGTCACATATTGATTTGCCCCATATCACACTCAGCTGAAATGATTCTCAGTGAACCTCAACTTTTCTTCTGCTTTACACAACTCCCCCCCAGCAGCTGTGTTTTCCCTGACACTCAGTGATTCTCAGGGGGGAGCTGGAGCACGAAAATAATGATAGCTGCAGTTTTTGTCATATGGAAAGGCCACAGTGGAGATTCTGATCAAATCCCCAGGAGAAGTACACCCACCCAACCTGTGGAGGAAAACTGATTTGGATTCTCCAAGAAGGCCATGAAAATCTCCTGGGTCATCACTGTATTCATTCAGTCAAGAGAAAATGATTTATTTTTATCAAACAGAAGAATCAAAGGCAAATGATGACATAACTGTATCTTCTCTTTTTCTCCACCCCCCTTACTACAAGATGTTTTTTTTCCCCTCCTAGTAGCTTGTGGGACAAGACAGTACATTATTCAAGGGTATCTTCCTTAAAGGCCCTAACCATCAAATATAGTAATGAATATGTTTTTTGGTCAATGTTTTGGGTAGATGTGGATTTGGAACCACACAACTTACCTAAAAATATGTAAAAGTAGTTAAAACAGAAAGTATATACACAGGGTCATTTAGATTTGGGGCAAGTTTAAAATGTTTGTGATTACATTTGCATAACCCCCTCTTCCCATCCATCTGTAAACCAAACCTTTCATTCTCTCATATCTGCTTCCCTTCTGGTTTTATCAGGCTCATGTCAGCGGGAAGGCACAAATAAAATGGTTCATCAGCCGAATTTGCCTGGAAGACTTGCGAGCAGATTTAGAGCCCTGCTATAATAAATACATTGTTTTTGTTTGAGCAATTTGAAAAAATAAATCAATTGCTTAAACAACTAAAATAAAAGATGTGGTGTTCCTTGCTGGGTTGAATGCTAATGGTCCATGGATTCTCGGTATCTTTCTTAATCAATTACAGTGAACTTCGAGATGGATTTTTCTGAAAGCAAAGCAAGAATGGAAGTAACAGGCACTGATTACATTCTACGTAGATTACTTAAACTAATTACATAAAGTGTAGTCATATGTCCCCATTTTATGGATGAAGAGATTGGGGCTCGAAGAGGTCAAATAATTTACCCAAATCACACATCTCATGAATGGCATAGATAGGGCTGCAAACTAGTCCTGATTCCAAATATTATGCCTCTTCTACTAAATCATGTTCACTATCTAGACAAATTATATAATTTAGAGACGCATTTACGAGAGGAAAATAGTCAACGTATTTAGATAAAAACCTATTCAGTATTTCATTATGAATCCCCAAACTGGATAATTGAGGTGATTCAATTCCTAGATACGTATTTCTGTGGCTGAATGGATAATTATTGAATGAATTGTGCTATCAGATCGTTCAGATCACTTGCTATTGAGGAGAGCATCTATTCTAGATATAGTACTGTACATAAACTGCGTACCATTGAGTTCAGTTTTAGAATAGTTTTAGCTATAACTGAGTAAAACAGCTTCTTGAGGAAGTTTCCGAATGAAAGAGTGATTTGCTCTTTTGATGTTGTCGTTAATGTGTAGTCCTATGCTAAATTTAGTCAAACATTTTAAAGTGTATAGATTTAAATACTGGCTTTAAATATAGATCACTGACACATACTATCTGGTGCTTCTGTAACAACGTCAGGTAGAAAGAAATGAACCTCAATAAGACTACATTTTTTTAAGGAGGCTGCTTACTTGTTCTGGACCTCTCTGAGTTCCAGAATGTTGATGTAGGGTTTACCCAGGTTAGTTATCTATATTTAACAAAATCTCAGAAATTATAAAATATTAGACTTTTGTAAAAACAAGAAAGGAATGTATTTTAGAAGGATTTAACACAATATTTAATGAGCAATATACACTCTATGCCTAATCTAGTCACAAATATATTCATGCATGTATATGTATGCATGTGTGTGAATGCATTCATATATTACACAGTGGATACTGATAACACCTTCCAGCCCTTAGTTAAGCAAATGGAGCATCTACACTGTGGTCTGGATTCTTCTTTCATATTTTGCCTATCCTCTTCCTAATATTTCACCTTCTTGCCCTAACTGGATGCAGTTTCAGGGCCTTTATTCTCATTTCCTGTTTATGCGTTTATAAACAATTGCCTCTAAATATAGTCTTTTTAATTTTGAAATATTTTAATATACTTAAAATTATACAGTCTAACATAAGTAACACTCATATACCAAACTCAAGGCTCCATCAAATTTAATATTTTGCTTTACTTTCTTTCGTTTCCAGATTATAAAACATTATAGACATAATTGATTTAGAAGCTTCCTTAAACCTCTCACCAATGCCTGTGCCCTTCCTCTCTCCCCTCATGATAACCATGACCCCGAATTTGGTTCTATCACTCTCAAGCATGTTTTAATTTGCTTACTTAAAACGTTTGCATGGCCGGCCCAGTGGCACAGTGGTTAAGTGTGTACCTTCTGCTTCGGTGGCCCGGGGTTTGCTGGTTCAGATCCTGGGTGTGGGCATGGCACCACTTGGCACGCCATGCTGCGGTAGGCTCCCACATATAAAGTAGAGGAAGATGGGCACGGATGTTAGCTCAGGGCCAGTCTTCCTCAGCAAAAAGAGGAGGATTGGCAGCAGAGGTTGGCTCAGGGCTAATCTTCCTCAAATAAAATAAAATAAAATGTTTGCATTTGTAGACAATATGTAGGACTCTAATTAAGCACTTTGGGTTGAACACACATATTTATTTTCAGCCCCTCCGGAAACCCGACTAAAAGTGCTATAAAGGCAAAATCACACAAGCAGTACCAGCACAAGCTGTACTTTGCTCAGTTGAAGGGGGCAGTATGTGGAGGTGGGGATTTTTATTCCATCAAGACAGAAAAAAGGAGGCTAAAATATCTGTCCCTTTGTGGAGGGGGGATTTTTATTCCATCAAGACAGAAAAAAGGAGGCTAAAATATCTGTCCCTTTCATCAGGAATGCAAAAACTTTCCCAGTAGACTTTTGCTTTTGTATCTTTGGTGAAAACCGAGTCGCATGACCACCACAAGCTGCAACAGTCCTAGGATAGAAAGTATTTCCCTTTTCTACCTTTAAAACAGAAGTGGGCAAGTGCATGTGTGTTGACTAGCCAACTATCAGGTTTGCCACAGGGCCCAAGAATCCTACTTGGTAGAGAGGAGGGATTTGAATTATCACTTGGGTTCTAGGAGACTGCTACCTTAGGGAAACTCCATAAAATGCAAAGTGCCTACTTTGCTTATCGACACCATCTTCAGCTCAGATTTCCCCCAAGTGTTCTCCTTGGAATAGAATTCAGTGGGATGTTCATTATGACCAAATAATGCTGTGGTCAAATAAGCTTGAAATATTAGAATTGACTTGCTACATTGTTAAAATATATTTGTACAATATTAAGTATATGTAAATTTTCTCAGTCTCAAAATTCCTGTTTCTGACGTATTTGTTAGCAGGGAGTTACTGCTTCTTTATTGATTTTCTTTCCCTTTTTTCAGCTCATAAATGTTAAATTCAATTTTATATGAAATTATAGCATCTCAGGCCTCTGAATTCTAATTTCTGTTCTTTTATTCCAATTTCCTCAAGTAATATAAACCCAAAACATGATTTTATTATCACTTGAGATTAAAATCATAGGAATTTCTTCATCTCCTTTCCTTCCTACTATTTGTATTTTTTGACATTTAAATTTTATATTTAATTTATCAAAGTAATGTAGGCACATAGTTTATGAAATCAAATATTCTTAAAATGTTTATAACAAAAACAATGGTTCTATGCCTCACCTCTCTCCTCCGCCCCAGGGGCACTATTCTGATAGTTGTACATCTCTGTATTTATAAATAACATGCCTAAATCTTTATTTTTTTCCTGTCTTTTCTTCAACTCTTATTTTTATCTTATATATCAGAAAATTTCAAACATATATAACAATAATAGGAATAATAAAATTAACCCTCATGTACCCATCATCCAAATTTAATAATTATCAACTCATAGCCAATCTTGTTGCATTTAAATCTCTTTCTCTTCTCCAGGATTACTTATTTTTCCATTTAAAATTTTTTCATCGAAGTATAACACAGATATAGAAAAGTGCGAGTATCAAAGTGTACTGCTTGCTGAATTTTCACGAAGTGAACACACCCATGAAACTAGTACCCAGATCAAGAAATAGAACATTAGCAGCCCCCTGAGCCTGCCCTTAGAGCCCTCACTGATGCCTCTTTCCAGTTGGTAGTCCTCCAAGAGTAACCACTCTTCCAGCAACACAGATTCATTTCCTCTGCTTTTTTACAGTATATAAATGGATTCATACAGTATGTACTTTTTCTGTTCAGACTTGTTTCGTTCAGTATTATATTTCTGATATTCATTCTTAAGGTTGTCTTTAATAAGTTGTTCTTTCTCATTATTGTCTAGTATTGCACTATGTTAATATACCACACATTTTTGAATCATCCTACTGTTGATGGGCATTTCAGTAAGGCTTACTTTTTAGCTATCTCAAATAGCATGTCTATGAAATACTAAAACATGATTTTGGTGATCATTTGCTTATATTTTTCTTGGGTATATACCTAGGAGTGGCATCACTAGGTCATAGGGTATGAATATGTTCAAAGTTGACTGTCTTAATATCTATTCCCACCAGCAGTGTATGGGAGTCCTAGTTATTCCACATCCTTGACAACACTTGTCTTTTTCTAGCTTTCATTTTAGTCATTCTAGTGGGATTGTAGTGGTATCTTATTGTAGTTTTAATTTGAATTTCTCTGTACACTAATGAAGTTGAAAGCCCTTTCAAATGTGTATTGGCCATTTGGATATCTTCTTCTGTGAAGTGTCTGGTCAAGTCTTTTGCCAATTTTCCTTATTGACTTGTAGAAATTCTTTAAGTGTTTTGAGTATGAATCCCTTTTCAGATTATGTACTGCGAATATCTTCTACCATTTGGGTCACCTTTTCAACCCTGTAATGATGTCTTTTGATGAACAGAAGTTTTAAATTTTGAAATAGTACCATTATTCATTAAAAATCTTTGACTGGTGTTTTCTATACACTGTTTGATAAATCTTTGCCTCCCTCAATTTGTTAATATGCTCTCCTATGTTTAAATCTAAACTCTTTATTGTTTTTCCTTTCACCTTAAAAACTGAAATCTATCCAAAATTTTATGGTGTGAAGTAGGTAGAGGTCAAAATTCACATATATATATAATATATATATACACACACACTAAGTTGATCCAGCACTTTTTATTGAAAAAATTTCCTTTCTCCACTGCACTGATATACCACATTTGTCATAATTCAGCTGACTATATGTGGATCTTTCTGGAATCACTTCTTTTCTGTAGGTTTGTTCTTATTCAAATATCACAGATTTAGTCACTGGAGCTTTATAATAGATATTGGCATCTGTAGTGTAAGCCCTCCAGCTTTTTCCTTCTTGAAAATTGTCTTAGCTTTCTTTGGTTCATAGCATTTCCATATTAACTTTATAATTAGCTTTTTCAATTGTTGGAAAAATAATAAGAACCTGCTGGCATTTTTATTGGATTGAATTGGGTATATAGATTAATTTGGGAATAATGGACCTCTTTACAAGATTGAGTCTTCTGACCCATGAACATATTATGTATCACCATTTATTTAGGTCTCATTACTTCTTTAAAAATGTCTTGCACTTGTTAGTGTCAATGTTTTGTGTGTCTTAATCAGATTTATTCCTAGGTATTACTTTGTTTTTTCTTTTCTGCTGAGGAAAATTAGCTCTGAGCTAACATCCATTGCCAATCCACCTCTTTTTGTGTGTGTGTGTGTGAGGAAGATCGGCCCTG